ACTGACTGAATTTCCTTGATCTTAAACATGAACATAATTATTTATTAACAAAGGCTAGCTTAATATTAAAAGCTAGTAATTCCTTTATTAATAAAACTCGGGGTGTTACATATTATTACCTAGGTATATACAACCTTGAATCAAATCATACATTACTAAGTTCACTTTAATGTATAAATCATTAAAATAATAAAGAATAAAAAATTATAGATAACAGATATGATTTTATTTTTTTTCCTAATTACGATGTAAAAATACTTTTTAATAAAAGTAATAGGCTTCATAATCTATATCTATTTGATTATTTTTATTCCTTTAGTTTAAATCTATTTGTTTATAAATATGTATATAATATTGATGGGTCTTCTCCTAGATCTGGAGTGAACCGGTGGAAATGGCTCCGATCTGCTCGAATCTTCCTTAATTCGCCTTTGAACCGCAACGAACACCTGCAAGAACTCAACACCGGAGAGGTTTCCGGTGAAGAGCCTCCGACGCTCAAGTTAGTGAAGGTGATGAAGATGAGCTCTGCTCAGTAGGAGCAGCAGCTGGAAAATGAGTAGAGAATGAAAGTTAGGGTTTGGAGTTACCTCAGCTCCTTTATATAGGGGCGGAATACTCACCTGAAGTCCCTAAAAAGCCCTGGCCGACTTATGCGAAGTGTCCAAAATACCCTGGTCGGTTCGCATTCCGTCCACCCCTGAGTCAGCATCTAGATTCTTCCTTATCCTAAGTAGGTTTGTTCTCGCTTGGAGATTTTCCTAAGGTATGTTATATATTTAGAAGTCGTCGGAGGTCTTGATAGCTCGAGGCGTGATAAGTCGACCTCGGGTACTGCCGAGTCGACTTTGGCCACCTATGTACTCATAGATCGTTTGTACTTGCGCGTCTTCTTGAGGGAAGTCGACTTGGGCACCAGTAGACTTAAGAGAATCATCTTGAAACTGCTGTCGAGTTAGTCGGTGATCCTTGGATGACTCCTGAGCCTGGTCGACTTCGGGGAAGTCGACTTTACTGATGTCGTCGTTAATATGCGTTTGGTCGAATAATCAATACTTGAATAGTAAGGCTATATCAAATATTATACTGTACTCATATAGGCATTTCTATTAATAATTATCATTTAAACAACAAAAGATCATTTATTCTACTACGTGCCAATATTTTGTTTTGTTTAATATTGTAAAATATTAAATTCAACACTTTTTGAATAGAAAAAAATTTGACGTAAATTGAGAGTAAGAGTCAACAAGATAAATACAAAAATGCACTAATCATGGTATAAAAAAAGAGTGCTATTATAAAATTGATAAATACAAAATTTGATCTTTAAGGGAAATCTGATTTGCATGTTTCTATATACGTATAAATAAATATCATATTTGAACTTTAAAATTTTCCTTTTTCACATATATTTATGTAATATATACAACTTAAATAATCATTTAAAAATAACAATATATTATAAGGATTTTATTTCAAAGTTAAACAAAGAAAGTAATCAAATTGGTCATAAAACAAGACTAAAATAAAAAAATATATAAATAAAAAAATTCACTAATCATGGTAACAAGTTTTTTTAAAGTACCACAATATTATGTTCACTATTTCATTAATCATGTATCCGATTTCATTCATAGTTACTCAAAGAATGGAGTCAAATATATCTATATAAAGTAGGAACAATGTTAAATCATTTTTTGAAAAAATTTCCGGCCAAAATCATTAATTAGATACTAAAATGGGTAAGTTATATATATATATATATATATATATATATATATTTAATTTTTTTCAAATAAAAAAAATTAAATGCACTGCCATAATCTCGATTGTTCTTTGTCATACTTGGTTTTCGTAAAACAAAAAAAAAATTATTTTCAAATTTTGTGTTATGAACATTTTGAATCTAATTAAAATGAATTATTTTATGGTAATGATTTTGTTGAGTGTATTTTTTTCTTCATAGAAGATTTTTAAAACCACTGATTAATAAAATTAAATCTCATTCTAATTATGGACAGTACATATATTTTTTATTTATTTTTTAAACAAAATTTAAAACTGCAATGGAATTAAACAAGTTATATTCTCAATTTTATTTTTATATTTTTTTAATAAAATAAGCTATAAAAGTGTGATATAAATAACTACGACAGTTCGATCATTCCCCATTCAAAACGTAACAAAGGTTAAATAGCATTCAAATTTTCAAGATACACGATTAACATTCAACCTTATCATTTACATATACAAAAAAAAAAAAAAATACGATTTTCATATCTTTATTTATCATGTGAAAAAGTTATACATTATGAATCCAAGCAAAAAAATGATTGTCTTATTCAAAAGAGATATACACAAGATCCATGCAAAATGAATTATAAATATACATAGATTAATTTATTTATGAAATACCTTAAAAAATATTATTTACATTTCATCTGATTCATTTAGTTAGTTTTGAAGTATAAATGATATAATATCATTGTTATTTTTTTCGACGTAATTATTTTTATAAATATTGTTTACAAAAGATACCATCGAAATTTCAAATATTTGTTAAAACATAACAAAACAAAATGTGTAAAATATTGTAGTTGATTTGGAATAAAAAATGAGAATGATTGAAAAAAAATACTATAAATTCGCACTTTAAGGTAACAATTTTTATTATATTCCATATAAAATTAAAATTTCACCTCATAAATCATATCTTTAATATTTGTCACATTATTACATATTTTCACTATAATTTTATTTCGTGGTGTTGGCATTCCAAAAATCAACACAAAATTAGAGAAATGAGGTGTTTATCAATTACCAAATGGAAAAAATATCGGTCTGCAGTTGTCAAGTGCCAATGATTTTGCATGGAAAAACGATGAGACTTTTCATAATGTACGACTTTTTTCTTGACGAACATTTTATGATTAGTTGACACATCTCCTCTATGTATAATAACTTATATTAATAGCCTTCTATTTATAAATTTCACCAAAATAATTACAGCTTGTGCATCGCAAGGGTTACTTACTAGTTAAGCCTAAAAAAAACCTTCAAACATACTTTAGCACGAATTTGATTTTGCAGTTGGGCTCACACCAAAGCCCATGACCCAAAAATAGACCCACCATGACTCCAACACACGTATAAAAGAACAACAAAGCGCCTCACTAAAAACCCAGCGTCAAAAGCTCCGCACTGAAATCACATTCTTCCCTCCAATTCACCTCTCAACCCTCCAAGATTCCCCCCATTCGCCAAAAAAATGGGGAAAGACGAGGAGGAGATGAGGGGGGAGATTGAGGAGCGCCTCATAAACGAGGAGTACAAGATTTGGAAGAAGAACACTCCTTTCCTCTACGATCTGGTCATAACCCATGCGCTCGAGTGGCCGTCGCTGACCGTCGAGTGGCTGCCGGACCGGGAGGAGCCGCCGGGCAAGGACTATTCGGTCCAGAAGATGATTCTGGGGACTCACACATCGGAGAACGAGCCCAATTATCTGATGCTGGCGCAGGCGCAGCTGCCGCTCGAGGATGCCGAGAATGACGCCCGCCAGTATGACGATGAACGATCTGAGTTCGGTGGTTTTGGGTGCGCGAATGGGAAGGTAATGAGCTTCCACTTCTTTTCTTCCCTTTTTTTGTGAGGAAAAGAAAACATTGGTTTGGCATAATTCGGGTTATGGAAATTGGACATGGTCGGGTTGGGGGAAAAATTGGTTCTTTACTCATATTTGCATAAGGAATTGGAAAAATCTTCTGAATTTTACTTTGGGTTTTGGCACCTCGGTAGTGACGGCAATGGAGCTGATCCGGAGCCACCTACTTCGTATTAGCTTGTCAGCTTGAGTAAGTTCGTGTAAGGGTCAGGGTCAGGGTCAGGATAGGTAGGTCCCTTAGGTTCAACCACCTGTTTGTGCACATTTAATTGTTTGTTTTGTGTTATAATTTATTATGATGTAGCTTTTTTCATGATTTTTATCCAAGAATATGTTGTTTGATCTTATACTAGTTGTTGTTATTATTATTATTCTCTCTCATTTAAATTGTTTTCTTGAGTTCTTTCACATGGAATAGAAAAGCATTCCTTGAAGTTTCTATACTTGATCAAAGTGTCAAATTTTTGTTATTGATTCAAATTTCGGCACGTAATCATTTCAAGCTCCAGGTAAATGTTATTCGAAAAAGAAAATTAGTTTGAGTAACATTAATGCGTTCCTAATTCAAGAAAATATGCAAATTAATTAAACCTGGTTTTCCAAAAGTGGCGCATGGAATGAAGTAAAAATATGCGACAGGTAGAATGAAATGGAAGGCGTATATTTCCTAACTGGCACAGGTTCTGTACTAGGTCCTTAAATCCTTGAAGTTAGATGTTGGTTCATAAACATAACCTGTTGTCATCCAAACGCCGAAACACCAGAACATCAAATTCTGGATTTCTGAAAAGTCTTACTTATAAAGATCCCAACTCTCATAAAATATAGGATGTGCCCTTAGTCTCTAAGCCACTTTTCTGTGATTTCCAGTACATATGTTGTAATCAAAGATTTAAAATTAGTTCTACTGGTGAAGAATATTAACATTTGTGACCTTATAAGTTTTAATGTAATGTACATCTGCATACTGGCATGTGCTTTAAATTCATGGTCGATATAATGGTTATTAAATGCTGAACATTATGCAAAATGCCTTCCTGATTTTTTTTTTCACCCTTTCTTTTTGTTAGCTAAATTAGCTAAATGCAGTTCGCACTAAAAGTTGCCTTAAAGTTGCCTTCTTTATCGTTTTCTACCTATATAACTTTTGTGAATTCAAAGGCTTAATGTTCATCAATCATCATGGTATGTCTCACTGCAGGTGCAAATTATCCAGCAAATTAACCATGATGGGGAGGTCAACCGGGCTCGATATATGCCGCAAAACCCATTTATTATTGCAACAAAGACTGTTAGTGCAGAGGTTTATGTTTTTGATTATAGTAAACATCCGTCTAAACCTCCTTTGGACGGCACATGCAACCCTGACTTGCGGCTGAGGGGCCATAGTACTGAAGGATACGGTTTGTCATGGAGTCAGTTGAAGCAGGGCCATTTATTGAGCGGTTCGGATGATGCCCAGATATGTTTGTGGGACATAAACGCGACTCCAAAGAACAAGGCTCTTGATGCAATGCAAATTTTTAAGGTGTCTTGAATGAAATTATGTCTGTATATTTTCTTTATACATTATTTGCTGTGCAACAAGCATTGTTTTTTTCTCTAATGTCTCGAACTGTGCAACTTTTTTGACAAAAGCTATTATGTGCTGTGCGAGCAGATTCATGAAGGTGTTGTTGAAGATGTGGCATGGCATCTGAGGCATGAGTACTTGTTTGGTTCTGTTGGAGATGATCAGTATCTGCATATATGGGACCTTCGTACTCCAGCTGTTAGCAAGCCTATACAATCTGTGGTTGCTCATCAAAGTGAGGTTGGTACCATGATTTTGTTCTGTTAATTAGGAAAAATATATTAGAATTATCAAAAATAAAATATAATATTATAATACTCAGACAAATAGCTAAAAGGAATCTTTTAGTCAAAACTGAGGTCTCCTGTGTCAAAAACATTAACACACCTATTTAGACCATCTAGAAGGAGAATGACTCTCTCTCTCTCTCTCAGTTGTGAAATTGGAGCAAAACTTTTCTGAGGTCTTCTGATTTCGAACTTATATTTAGGTGATGAATGTGGACAATAGAAAAAAATATGTTCCAAGCAAAACTGTCATAGCTGATTCTCCTCCAGCAGGTTTAAGTGAAACAATAAGGGGGAAAAAAAAATATTTACTCTCAGTTGTAGAAAATTATGTTTGCTTGTTATTTATTTTTTTTTTTTCTGTGGTAATCGTCTCTAGAATACGTGGGCCTTAGGTGTTTCTTAATGTGTCAAACTAACTCCCGATATGCATTTAACTGAAATGTGGCATTAGATTTCTTCTCTCTAGGATGGGTTTAATAAAAGGAGCTCACACTTGAAGATATTTTCTTTGCTTCAGATTCTTTGTTCTCTGGAGATTGTAAAATTGACAAGTTATTTTGAATCGGTATGTACGTAGGTGAACTGTTTAGCTTTTAATCCATTCAACGAGTGGGTTCTAGCAACAGGGTCCACTGATAAGACTGTCAAATTATTTGACATGAGAAAGCTTTCGACTGCCCTCCATACTTTTGATTGCCACAAGTAAGCATCTACTGTACTTTGGTTTTTGGATTAAGTACGCCTTATTTATCTCAATGCGTGACGACCATATTTTTTCAAAACGACATGCTGGACCAATGTTAACAAAATCCACTTTAATTGCACATCAGGGAGGAAGTATTCCAGGTTGGATGGAATCCGAAGAACGAGACTATCTTAGCTTCTTGTTGCCTTGGTAGGAGGCTCATGATTTGGGATCTTAGCAGGTAACTTGATGCTGTTTGATTATCGATGTTTATTTATTTATTTCTCTATATTGGTTATTCTTTTTATTTCCTTCGTATTTTTTATTTTTTCGTTATAGTTCTCTTCTCACCATATTGAGCCTGTATTTATATAGCTGGACCTATTTGCTTCTTTCTATTGCAAAAAGCTCTGGACCATTGAGAATGTAGTTCACTAGCTGAACATCTGTTCCTCTCGAGTCTCAACCATTGTATCCCCATTATTTATAGGAGTCCAAGCATATATGCAGATTTATTAAATTTTTTGTTTTCCTTTTTTTCTTTTGTCCTTTTTTCTCCTTTGCCTTTTCTTTTCTCCACATTCTTTGGATATTCTATCATTCTATGGCTCAACTACCTCATCTAGGAGCATCTTCTTGTTTTTGGGTATACCCTCACTCGTAAGTTTAGCACTATTAGTTCGAAGAAAAAGGGACCATAAGCACTGATTGACCCAACTAGGTTTTGATATTACAAGTAACCCCTCGTATCTAGTTTTACTTGTACAAATTACTGCTGCTTAAGTGATTATTTTGTTAGGGAAATAGGAACTTAAAGGAAGATAAAGGGGGTATTTGTAATACTAATCATTTTTCTTTTCTAGAATCCAGATTGTATATTCTTTACTTTCCTGCTCTGTGGCAATTGTGTGATTGATTATCTATAGAGATTCAAATTTCATCATTCGTATTTTTTTATTTCCCCGCTTGATAGGATTGATGAGGAGCAGACGCCAGAGGATGCCGAGGATGGCCCACCCGAGTTGATATTCATTCACGGTGGCCACACGAGCAAGATCTCAGATTTTTCATGGAACCCTTGTGAAGATTGGGTTGTTGCTAGTGTTGCCGAGGATAATATACTCCAAATTTGGCAGATGGCCGATAATATATACCATGACGAGGACGACCTACCTGGAGACGACGCAAATAAAGGTTCCTAGTTCTTGATTCTCAATTTAAATAGCATGAAAGGAAAAGCTTAAGTGTTGTATGATTGAATAGATGGCATGTGCATGTAGGGATGCTCTGTGCTTGGGTTGATTTGGTTTTTCGTTCTTTGCATTATGTATCATTATGTTTTGGATTTAGAATTATTTATCTTTGAATCAGTTTACTGTTTAACTATATAATGATTTGGTTTTAGCAATACTTCCTTTTAAGGTTTCTGATGCAATTGTCATCCCCAAAGTGTATAGTGTAATTTCACAATGCACTGTGCAGGATCCATTCGGGACTGCATTTTAGTTGGATGCCTAAATCCTAATTCTTTGTCAAGGCCATGACTATTGTTCTACTAGTACTCAGCTCCAAAGTCAATATTCTTTATTATTATCATTATTTATTTATTATTTACGACTGACCAATAATTTTAATAATTTTAGTTTGGGTATGGTAGTAGGAACGAAGAGGGGAGGGTAGGGGCGAGCATCGAACCCGAATCGAACCGAACCGAAAAAATCAAAAACCAAAATTGTATTACAATATGAAACCGAACCGAACCGAATAATCTTTAATAACCGAACTATTCGGTTTAAAACTGAAAATCGAAATTATACATAAGTTCACAACACATGTTCCAAAACATAATAATTTTTATCACAAGTTCTCTAAAATCTAAAATTTGATTATATTATTTAGCAGTTGAGCTATGAAATTGGGCATACATATCTAAAATCTAATATTTAATTTATATTATTTAGCTGTTGAGTTAGGCAATGGATCACTACTATTAAAGTTTACTAATTAGTAACACAAATTCGGTTCGGTTCGGTTAAACGAATTTATTTTTTCGAAAACTGAACCGAATAAACCAATTTTTTTAAAAAATGACCGAACCGAATTAGGAAATAAAAAAATCGAATCGAACAACACTATTTGGTTCGGTTCGGTCGATTTTTTCGGTTCAATCCGAAAAATGCTCACCCCTAGGGGAGGGTGTGCTGGACTTTGCGATGACGTACGACTTGTTGATAGCGAACACCCTATTTAGGAAGATGGAATCTCACCTAGTGACCTTCCGTAGTGGACGACAATCAAAGCAGATCGACTTTATCCTTGCAAGGAGGGAGGATAGACGTGCTTGCGTAGATTGCAAGGTGATACCTGGGGAGTGTGTTGTCCCCCAGCATAAGCTGGTGGTGGCGGACTTTCGATTTCGAATACGTGTCCACCGGGACAATCGTGCCAAGACCGTGAGAACGAAGTGGTGGAAGCTTAAAGGGGAAGCGGCGCAGACGTTTAGGGATAGGATGCTAGGCGAGGGGCCTTGGAAAGAAGGAGAAGATGCAGATGACATGTGGCTAAAGATGGCAACATGTGTACGGAAGGTGGTTGCAGAAGTACTTTGTGTGAGTAGGGGAGGCAAGCAGGATGCGAAAGACACTTGGTGGTGGAATGACGAGGTGCAAAGGGCTATTCATGAGAAGAAAGAGTGTTTCAAGCGTCTCCACCTTGACAAGAGTGCAACCAACATTGAGAGCTATAAAATAGCGAGGAGGGCTGCTAAGCGTACCGTGAGTGTAGTGAAGGGTCAAGCCTATGATGACCTTTATCAGCGCTAGGCACGAAGGAGGGGGAGAAGGACGTTTATAGGATAGCTAGGATCCGGGAGAGGAAGACAAGGGACATCAACCAAATCAAATGCATCAAGGATGGGTCGGATCGGCCACTAGTGAAGGATGGGGAAATCAAGGATAGATGGCGATAGTACTTCGACAAATTGCTTAATGGGGAGAGTGAGGGTCCTACCCTGGAGTTGGATGACTCATTTGAGGATACTAATAGACGCTTGGTGAGGAGAATTCGGGAGGCAGAGATCGGAGAGACTATAAAAAGGATGAAGGGAGGTAAAGCAATGGGCCCTGATGGTATCCCCATTGAGGTGTGGAGATGCTTGGGCGCCAGAGCATTAGTATGGCTAACTAAGTTTTTTAATCTCCTTTTCCGGTCAAACAAGATGCCTGATGAATGGAGGAAAAGTACTTTAGTACCGATCTTCAAGAACAAGGGTGATGTTCAAAGTTGTGGTAACTACCGTGGGATTAAGTTGATGAGCCATACGATGAAGCTCTGAGAGAGGGTTATCAAGCATCACCTACGACGAGTGACGAGTGTTACCCAAAACCAATTTGGGTTTATGTCTGGAAGGTCGACCATGGAGGCGATTTTCCTAATACGACAGTTGATTGAGAGATATAAGGGCCAAAAGAAGGACTTGCACATGGTCTTTAACGACCTTGAGAAGGCTTATGACAGAGTACCGAGGGATGTCATGTGGTGGGCCTTAGAAAAGCACAAAGTCTCATCTAAGTACATTACCCTCATCAAGGATATGTACAAGGATGCGATGACGTGTATCCGAACATGTAGGGGTGATACCAGCGACTTCCCAATTAAAATAGGACTACACCAGGGGTCAGCATTGAGCCCTTATTTATTTGCCTCGGTGATGGATGAGGCCACAAGGGATATACAAGGTGATATCCCTTGGTGTATACTCTTTGCTGATGATGTGGTGTTAGTTGACGAGAGTAGGGCAGGGGTAAATAGTGTGGGATCCAGCCAACCATGTGCAAAGAAACACAAACATACAAAAATAAAAAAATATAATAATAATAAATGGCATGTGGTGGTGTTGTAATGACCGAAAAAGAAAAAAAAAATTAATAATAAAATATAGATATAATAATTGTTAACATGTTGAATATGGTGCAGGTTGAATGTGAAATCTTCTGCTATAAATAGAAGGCATTTGGCAGAAGAGAAAGTGCACCGAGAAGAAGAAAGAAAAAGAGAGCAGAAACAACATCAGTTTCTGGAGTGAGTGTTATCTTTCAGTGAGATAAAAATAAAGTGTTTTGAGTAAATCTTGTGGGTGTGGGAAAAATACACCGGGTTGGGTATCAACTCTATTATTCCTTGTTTAGGAGTGGGGTTTCACTGGGTCACTATACTTTACATTTCTAGTGTAAGGGGAGTGTAAAAAGATATTGTAATTATCTTGAAAATATAGTGGAATTGTTCGGAGGTTGTCCCGTGGTTTTTTCCTCTATTTGGAGGGTTTTCCACGTTAAATCTTGGTGTCTTATTTCTTGCATATTTTATTTATTTGGGATATTCTTAGTATGCTCTGTGGTCGCAGTTTAATCTGAACTTCCACATCAGAAAAGAATTATTCCGGTTTTATTGCAAGAAATTTTCTTTTGTCATTCTTGAGTTGCTGGGATTGGGATTATTGTTTACCATTTTACCTAGATATTTTAATTTAAATCTTCTGCATTTGCGTATCTGAGCCCAACAAGTGGTATCAGAGCTCAAGTTGGGCTCTGTATCGGCCAGTGTAAATTAAATGGAGGAGAACGTGGGTACCATGGTGAAGCTCACAGCAACAAATTACTCTATTTGGAAGCCAAAAATGGAGGACATACTTTTCTACAAAGATCTGTACGATCCTGTAGAAAAGGGAGAAAACAAGCCGGATGATGTGAAGGATGAAGATTGGAAGAAATTACATAGGAAGGCTGTCAGTTTAATCAGACAGTGGGTGGATATCAGCATATTCCACCATGTTGCCACAGAGTCGAAAGCCCATACTCTGTGGAACAAAATTGAACAGATGTACCAGAGGAAGACTGCACAGAATAAAGCTTTCGTCATTAGAAAGCTTGTAAATTTAAAATATCGGGATGGAAGATCAGTTGCAGAACACCTGAATGAGTTTCAAGACATGGTAAACCAACTTGTTACCATGGACATGAAACTTGATGAAGAGCTGCAGGCGCTGTTACTTTTGAGTTCTTTACCGGATAGCTAGGAGACTCTGGTGGTCTTGTTGAGCAACTCTGCACCTGAGGGAAAACTAACTTTGACCCAAGTCAAAGACAGTATGTTTAATGAAGAAACAAGAAGAAAAGACTCTGGGGCAAGCAGTTCCCAGGCCCTGGTCACGGAAACCAGGGGGAGAAGTAAAAGCAGAGGCCAGAATAGCAAAGCCAGAGATAGATCACAATCTCAACCCAGGAGAAAGTTCAAGTGTTATCACTGCGGTGAAGAAGGGCATGTCAAAAGAAACTGCAAAGCCTGGAAGAACAGAGGTTGGAGAAACAACAAGGCAGAGAACGATGAAAATACCGCAACCCCTGTGATCAATGGGGAAGTAGTGTTGCTCTCTGTTGAAGAAGAAGAGTGTCATGTTGCTGATTCATGTGTTGAATGGGTCATTGACTCAGCAGCATCATACCATGCAACCTCTCACAAGGAATTCTTTTCTCTATACAAAGAAGGAGACTTTGGTAGAGTAAAGATGGGCAACAACAGCGTTGCAAATATTGTGGGAGTTGGTGATGTGTGCATTCAAACTAATATTGGGTGCACAATAACACTGAAGGACGTACGACATATACCAGACTTACGTCTGAATCTGATCTCTGTGCATGCATTGGATCTAGCAGGCTATACTAACAGTTTTGGTAATGGCACGTGGAGGCTTACCAAAGGATCGTTGTTAGCTGCTAGAGGTACAGTGAGATCGACATTGTACAGAACTCAAGTGAAGCTGATCAAGGGTGGATTGAATGCAGTCGAAGATGATGCTTTGCCAAATTTGTGGCACAAAAGACTGGCTCACATTGGTGAAAAAGGATTACAAATTTTGGCAAGAAAGTCCCTCATCCCATTTGCAAAAGATTCAAAACTAAATCCTTGTGATTATTGTCTCTTTGGGAAGCATCATAGAGTGTCTTTCAGCAAAACCTCGAAGCTAAAAGAGAATGTGTTGGAGATGGTGTATTCTGATGTATGTGGACCCATGAAAGTGGAGAGTCTCGGTGGTAGCAGATATTTCTTGACATTTATTGATGATGCTTCAAGAAAATTATGGGTGTATTTCTTGAGAACGAAGGGTGAAGTTTTTCAATACTTCAAAAGGTTTCATGCTATGGTG